TATTGAGAAGGTGTAAGATTATTTATTGTAGGAAAAAAACCCAGGAAACAGTTACTACCACCAGCATACACATAGAGAACAAAAAAGAGTAAATGCTGTGATACCTGTCTCTTCTCAACAAGCTCACATGCCACAGCCTATCTGCAGCAATTATGGCTCTAGCAAAGACATTCTGATGTCATGTCTTCTTTATGCGTTTCTCACATCATGCCTTTGACTTTTTCCATACCTCACTACATGTAAAACAAAAAGTGTCTGGTGAACATTGCTGCCATCTCCTACTAGCTCTGCCATTTTAGCTTTGCTTTATGAAGGTACACAGGGGATATGAATATTTTGAAGACCACAAGTATTGATTTTTATTTTTTTCCCCATATGACATGCATAGATTAAGTCTCACACACCTGCACTTGCTATACAAGTGGCAACAATATTACTTTAAAATTATTTCTGATAGATGGTCATCTAAACAAGAGCATTAATCCCAAGAATTTTTCAGAAAATATGTTTTGCTGGAATTCCCTTATATCTGTAAACTTTATTTATAAGGATTGCTTCCAAATGTGCCTTTGTTATTCATTTTCCTTATTTCTTGTTGCTACGACACATGCTGAAAGTTGGCGAAATGGAGAATTAAATTTGAAGGGAAGGAGGAGAGAGGACACAGCATCTAACGCGCTTTTGACCAACATACTTTGAAACATAGCCTGGCAGTGCCCACCTCTTTGCATATGCACACATGATATTCACAGCACTTTAGATTATTCACATTTAAGCAATGAGTGATGCAGTCATTTGGTGGAACGACAGAATCATAACATTAGAAACAACATGAATGAAAGTAGCATGGACTCTAACATTAATTAGCTGCAGTGTTTTACCATGTCTTGTTTCTCAAGGCAGACTCTTATTTAATGCTACCCATATTTGCATTTTTGTTTTCTTTTCATTAATTGATTTGATTATATCCTTTCTAAATTCAGCTATTAACCATTTTGATGTGACATGTGACTGCTGTAATCTTCTGATATCGATATTGGTCTGTTTTGCAGTGAAAGGCAATTAATCACTCTACCCAAGCGCTCTTAGAGCAGGGCTTCCAGAAGGTCCAGTTTCGTCCCCATTGCTGAATGTAGACTGTGAAATTATCCTAGGAGTTAATAAAGTGACAAAAATTCTGTAAGGTATCAGAAGTATTTTCCCAGTGGACTTAATGTCATAGCTAATTTTTTTTAATGATCTCAGCACTTCTGTTGGGTGTAGTAATTTTGTCTGATTAGAATGGCATAGAATAAAAAGCCTAATCTTGAAATAGTGTAGTTTGGGTTAATATTCAGAAAATCTTGCCAATACTCTAGGAGATGTAAGTTAATGATGGGAATGTCTGTCTTACAAAGGCAAATAGTATTTCCAAACCAAAGCCTCTTTTAAATTAAACTGGCTACAGACTCTTCCATTCCTCTCTGAAATTCAAACCCTCATCCTGTCAGGGACCTGTAAGGATGCAGGTGTCCAGGACATTGATATAATTTAATAGTCTACCTTGTCTGCGCCTGACAATAAATAATGGGGTATTGCCACTGAGAACCAGAGTAGTCTGTTGGCCTTGATTCAGAATATTTGCCGGGGCTTCAAAAAGGAATATCAAATGTTGTCAATTAGCATCTCGACAGTAATGTGGATTTACCTACATTGCCCTGAAATGTAATCCTGCTAATACGATAGATAAGGGATAGGTGTTTTTTGTCATACATCCATGACTGGAGCCATGAGAAGAATTGTCTCCCTCTGAATATGTCCTTGGCATCCCCTATGGCAAGACTGGAAGCACTTTTTTTTCCTGGTGATACTGGCATGTATGCATTTATGTGTGGATGCTGGTTCTTATACTTTACTTGTAATGGAAACGGTGCAGCTGTATGCTTTTTTTCGCCCTTTCAGCTCTAATAGAGCTGCCACCTCTTCATATTTGTCCTGGGAAATAGCATTTGTGTGGTGACATTATATTACTGTATTGCAACATGATGTTATTAACTCACTGGTGCAATGTCGTTATGTACTGAAGCAAAAGCATGCCAAGAAAACAATTTCATCACATGGCTCAGCCTTGCAACACAAAGTCATATGAAGGGGCCTGTGGTAAATTCAGGCCTTTTGCCCAGGCAACTGGTTTGCCTTGCAAGCTACAGAGCAAATTGATGTTAATTAGTAGCGTGCACTGAAATCCTAAACAAATTACAACCTGAATATGTTTGATCCTTTTGTTATCATTTCTGTACTTCATTATGTGATGATGCCAAGAGGCCTCCGATTTTGGGCGTTGAACAGTTTGAATTGTTACTTTTAATTATTACTAATTGATTTTTCCCTGTCTTATATGTATGTGCGTGTATGTGTGTGTGTACGTTTGTTTTGTTTTTCCAACCAAAACGCAGTCACTTTCCAAAGAGGAGATGGAGGACTAATGAGCAATGGAAGGTACGTTTCTTTGTATAAAGATCTTTCCATGGTATTAATTTTAAAGTTAGGGATCTGAAAAATGCTATAGTTATGTACTTGTGTAATAACCGATCTTTGAGAAGACTGACACTGCTAGGAGGAGTTAAGTAGCTTACCACAAGGTTTAATGACCTGTCTGTTGTGTGTTTTGGAGGAATCAAGCCCAGATGTTTCATATTTCCCTGATGCCCTGGAAGAAATGAGTAGTAAATATCACAAGGAATGTGTTCATTTGTTACTGGGATGTTTATTGCATTAATTAGACATTAGCAAATGAAGTTGCTGTTGTTTAAGACTCCTTATTGGCTCCCCCTAAATTGCTGTGAGTGAACAATTACACTTAATCGATCATGAAATAAATGATTCATGGATGATGAATAGGCTGTAGATTGATAGGACTGGATTCCACAACTTTGGCTACTCAATTGAAATTGATAAAAGCTGATAACGGGCCCATATATCCTCATCTATTTTCCCTTTGCCAATATGGAGATTGTAATTAGGCCCTGGTAATAACTTCCAATCTCCCGTTTAATCAATATTTTAGCAAGAAGAGATTAGGCCTAATGAGAGCGAGTAGATGTGGCAAGGAGGCGGCTGGGTCTTCTTATTGCCGTTTCCATGGAAACCAATGTTTCTCTTAGGGATTGTACCAGGCGGGGATCTGTAACATACAATGACTGGAGATGTTGCTTCAACTTCATGAGTGCATTAATAACCTAGAAAAGCTGCAGAACTGTGCATGGTTTTTTGTTTTCGTTTGAGGGAAGGGGGTGTCTGCAGGAAACTATTTGTTTTCCCTGTTTAATACAAATACAAACACTCCCTTTGCTAAATTTCTGGCTCTTTTTCCTGGGGTGAGAGAGACTTTGTGCTGCATGGCCCGAGTGTACCTCCTCTTTGAACACACTCACTCTTTAATACTGCTCTCAAAGCTGGGAATTACAGGAGTGTAAAAGCTGTGCAGTAGTGGCAGATAAAGATAGTTGTGGACTTTCCATTAATCTTACTCAAGCCTGTTTGCCTCTAAACCATCCAAGAGTGCTCAAAGAAAGAGTTACCAGCCTGTAGATGACAGACGTGCATTTGGGATGCAAGGGAAGGAAGAAATAGTAGCCCAAAGTCCTGGAAATGGCTGATACGGAGCAATCAGTTTGAGTGATGGCTCCCTTGAGGTGGTAATTTATCATGCAGCCCTGATGTAGGATCCCGTGATGGTGCTGCCTAACCCCTGTTTCACACAGACAACGGAGTTCATTTGGATTCTGGCAGAATCGCGACGGATGCCTAGTCCCACTTCTACTGACAAAGTTGATTTGTATATAACCTTAATTAACTGCTCAAGGTCTTTAAATCATCAAAGGCTACACAATTTTAATTTGAAATAAATTAAAGTCTCCTAAACTGTTTGTTACCTGCGGTGTTAGGAGAACAGTGATATGGTCTCTTCAATCACTAGTTGTCTCACAGATACTTTATTTTTGTAAAAATATATATATGTGTGTGTGTGTATATATTTGTATGTATATCTTTTTTTCTTATTCCGCTTCAGTCGACCAGGTCTGTTGAATGCAAGTGACCCCAGTTATCCTTGGCTTGCAGACTCTTGGCCTGCCACAAGTCTGCCAGTAAACAACAGCACTAGTGGACCGAATGATCTTGGCAATTTCGGTCGTGGAGGTAGGTTTCATTTTACTAAGTCACTGTATAGTATACAGTAGGCTTTTGTTAGTTAACATCTATGATAAACACTGTGTAGTATTTTTATCGTTACAGTTCTTTCTCTGTTAGAATCAAGATTTGATTTAAAATTGACTTTAAAATATTCATTTTGATTTGTCTCTTTCTACTTTTTTAAAATGTAAGTCTAGTTTGTAGTTTATCCCACAGTGGTGAGAAGGAGTTTGCTTATCATCTCAAGAGAAATGTCATTATTGTTTAAACTCTTTCC